CCATCCCTCCCCCGGCCCAGAGAGCAGCCCGCCGACCGCCTCCTCCTGCTCGCGATGTTCCCGGCGAGGAGGGCCGTGGTTTTATTGCACATTAAGCTCAGTGCCAAGAGATCGTCATCTCCTGATTCTGCTCTAAGTCCTGGCAAATCGCATTCCCTGGGGAAGAGTCAGCCCATTCTGTGTTCTTTGTTGGTTTCTAAGTTTTAAAATATTCTTTCCCCCCATTCTCTCATTTCATCGTTTAAACGCAAGCTTGCAAAAACATCAAGTACCAACGAGACTCTTAAGTGATGAAGTTTTTGGCCATTTGAAGAGATTAAAATACGGAAAAAAGAACGCAGATAGCTCCTCTTTTATTGTTCAAAGTCTTACAAATAGTGATAGCGCCTCCTTTTTTCCTCACTGTGGAAGGGGGTTGTCCTCCGGTCAGATGGGACCCTCAGATTTCAGTGTCCAAACTGTGGTTCTGTCGAAGGGCTGCCACCTATTTCCCTCTACTTTTTTAATGTTTTTATTGATTTCAGAGAGGAAGGGAGAGAGAGATAGAAACAGCAATGATGAGAGAGAATCAGATCCGCTGCCTCCTGCACCCCCCCGCCCCCCCCGGGGATCCAGCCCACGACCTGGGCATGTGCCCTGACCGGGAACCCAACCTGGGCCTGCAGTCTGCGGGCTGATGCTCTACCCACTGAGCACACCAGCCAGGGCTCTTCCTGGTCTTTCATGACACGTTGGCCCGTTTCTCTCCATCGCCGAATCCTTTTCCCTGGTCTGATGGGCTTCCGTCCATTTGTCCGTCCTCTGAGGGGCATCCTGGTTGCTTCCAAGTCCGGCGGTTGTGGCTAGAGCTGCTGTAAATGTCCGTGTGCACGTTTCGGCACATGGCTTTCACCGTTTCGGGGACACCATGGAGGCCACTGCAGGACCTGAGTCTGTGCAGCTTTGTCAGGACGGCCGCACTGCTGTCCAAGTGGCCGCCCCATCTGCTCGCCCGCCAGCCGGGGGATGACTCTGTCCGCGGGGCCCGGGAAGTGGGCAGGGGGCGCGGGGCCCCAACACTCAGGAAGGAGCGAGGTTTCAGGGCGGCTCCTGCCCAGCTCCGCTGGGGAGGGTGGGGGGCTCTCGCTCAGGGTCGCTCCTGAGCCCTGCGTTTCAGGGGGTGATCTGCGTGTGGGGCCACGTGACAGGAGGCATGGGGACCCTCCTCACCCAGCCCGGATCTGCCCTGACCTCCGTGCGGTCACACAGCCCCCGTCCCTGGCTCCGGCGGCCGGGGTGGGGGGTGGTGGCTCCTGCTCCCCGTCACACGGCCCCAGCTCCTCAGGGTGTCTGGGCGCGCAGGACGGGCCGCCGCACAGACTGGACCCGGCGCTGCCTTATTAGGCGACGCGCTTGGTGCCAGACTCGCCGTGTCCTGAGCCCTGGGAGCTGCACAAGTTAAATATTTAGAATCCGTCTATTTGCCCATTTCTGCCAGACACGCTGCAGACTCCTCCCAACAGGAGGCGGGGCTTGGCCGCTCAGGTCGGCAGGAGGTGACCGGCCTGGGCAGCGGGCTGAGCGGGCTGTGGCCGCACTGGCCTCCTGGGGGCCCGCTGACCGCAGGGCCGACCGCAGGGCTCGGTCTGCAGCTCCCTGTTTAAACCCAGTTATTCTGTGATTGAACTTTTACAGCAGATTGTACAGTGGGCTTTAGACATGTGTTTTTGATGTGGGACGGGGTCCCCTCAGCAGGACGGGGTCCCCCCAGCAGCCACCAAGGCCCGCAGGATGCAGGCCACAACCTTCTCCCCGAGGAGGGGGACGAGCACGGTGTCCGGGTTTGGGTGTCTTTCCAATGGAAGGCGGGCCAAGCAGGGGGTCTGGCCTGACCGAGGAAGCAAACCAGCTGCAAACATGGGGGTCACCGGCTCGGGGAGCAGCAGGCTGGGGGCACTGGTCGCTGGGATGGCCCCAACTGGGGCTCCATCGGGCACACATGGCCGGCCAGTGGGCGGCTCCCCTGGAACCCTGGAGGCCTCCCTGCCTCTGTGATTAGGGTGCCCCTGTCCTCGGGGTCACTCGGTCACGGTCAGGGCTCCCGCCGCTGGCTCAGAGGGACGGCCGTCATTCCCTGATGGTGACGCCCTCGCAACAGCCGAGCAAACCCAGCGTCCGTCCGCCTGTTGGCAGCACACGGCCGCCGACCAGCGTCAGCAGGGCCAGCACAGGGCAGTGCACGGCCTACGCGGCAGTGCACGGCCTCGCCCTCGGGCCTGGGACCCGACACAACCCGCGCGGCTCTGAGTCGGGCCCAGGCCGGGGCTCCCAGGCTTGGCTCCTCAGGGACCAGCGTCTCGGAGCCGAGGTCAGTGAGGAGCAGCCTGGCCGCCCGGGAGGGTGGACGCGCGTCAGCTCTGGGTGACACCGGCCGTGCGACTCTGGAAAGGACTTCGCCTCCCACCCCGCGCCCTCAGGCGGCCAGTGTGGGCCACACCCTGCACGGGTCAGGGGTGAGGGTCGCGTGGAGCCGGGCGGCCTAGGAGTGAGGGCAGGCAGTGGGGTGAGCTCAGCCACCTGTGGGCAGGAGTCCGAGCTCCTGGGAGTGGTTGGCCCCGCGCCCGGCTGGACAGGATCCTCGGAGGCTGTGGCGACTGCCGAGTGAGAGCACGTGTGCTGAGATGCTGGGAGGTACGCAGAAACGGGGCCTTGTTTTCTGTAAAGTCTGTCCCGTCGGAGGCCAGCCTGGCCCCTGAGCCCTTCCTGCTGCTTTAGTTGGTCCGTCCGTCCGTCCGTCCGGCCGGCTCCGAACACCTCCTTGCAGACCCGGCACCGCCTTCCCTTCACATTCGCAGCCAGTGGCACGTGTGTCTCAGCGACCACAGGCGGCCGCACGCGGTCCCCAGGGGAGCAGGTGCGGGCGCTCAGCATGGACGAGGCTTCAGGGGGTCGTGAGCCGTGCCAGGAGAGCCCGGGAGGGGGCTTGCTGGGCGTGAGCTGCCCAGATGTGGTGGTGAAGGGACTGGGGTCGCCGGGGCGGGTAGGGGGGCTCGTGGCGCCCAGGCCCTGGTTGGGGACCGTGACTGTGTTGGGGGGAGCGGAAGGGGTTTTGGAGGCGCCGTGGAGAACTGGGCTCCGTGTGGAGGCTGGAAACGGAATCACTTTTCCCATTAGACGTCATGGAAGCGGAATTAACCGCCCCAGACCCCGAAGGACCCCGTGTTACCCTTCCTCACGCACAGCGCTGGTCTACTGCACCGTCTCGTCTATGAATAAAAACTCTAAAGACAACGGAGCATGGCGTTTAACAGGAGGAACGGAGACGCCCAGCAGAGCATGAGGATGTGATGGTATCAGCAGCAACAAAAGCAAGAAACACGGACGCACCCCCCGCGGTCTCCGGGGACGTCGATGCGAGTTAGCGGGGGGCTGACTCACTCGCGCTCTGCTCCCCCTGTTGCCTGAGGGCGTGCTGATCGCCAGGCTCAGCGGGAAGGGGCTGTTAGGTGAAGGGAACCGTTCGGGTGGGAGACGGCCGAGCCCTGAGTGCGACTGGATCGCAGGTCCCTGAGAAGCCGGAGTTCCCACGGGAGCGGGTTTACCGGACCCAGCGGCAGAGGTCACCGCCCCTTGGCCAGATGTTTACGGGAACAGCACGGCTCCTCCCACACAAGCACCACCTCGCAAGCTCACCCCAGCAGAGTCTGAGAGCCGGGGACCAGTTGGCGATGGGCCTTCCTACGTGGAGCTTTCACGTGCGACCGACCGTCCTCAGGGCCGGGACCCGGCTGTCCCAGGGGATGTCTGTGGCCACAGCGTGTCCTTGGATACACGGGCAGCGCCTGTGCCCAGAGGGTCACCCCACAAGTCCTGCCACTGGCAAAGCTTCGCGAAAGGGCCAGGTGCGCAGTGAGGTCAGCGATGCGTTTCCCAGGCAGCCGCGGGGAGCGTGTCGCCGCCGTCGCCGCCATCGCCGCGGGCACAGCTGCGTCTGCAAACACTCAGCTCAGCCCCTGGGCTTCCTCACAGGGTCCAACACCCGTGGTGGCCGTTGGAGAGAAACGCGGCCATCGTCGCTGGCGGGCCACGCCATTCCCAGTCACCGTGGGAGTGAGAGCCTCTCCTTTACGACACGGAGCGACACAGGGCCAGGCTGTGTGTGTGTCTGTTTTTAAAATTTTGTTTTTATTAAGTTTTGAGAGAGAGAGGAAGGGAGAAGGATAGAGAGATGGAAACATCGACGAGACAATCACTGATCGGCTGCCTCCTGCATGTTCCCCGCTGGAGTCAAGCCCACAACCGGCAGGTGCTCTGACCGGCAATCGAACCAGCAACCTTTTGGTTCATGGGCTGATGCTCAACCTCTGAGCCATGTGGCCGGGCTGCTCATGGATCTGTTTGCTGAGCGAGATCGTGAGCTGCTGAGGGACTTGGAGGAGGCAGTTGGTGTGAGCTCAGCGCACACCAGGGCGGTGATGTTCCCAGGGTGACGGGGGAGCCGCGTGCAGAACCCGGCACCGCCAGCCCTTCCTCCCGTGTCTGTCCAGAGCACGTCAGCTGCGTATCAGTGTCATGAAGACCAAGTGCCCAGGCCTGTGTCAGACTCTGCTAGAGCCAGAACTCTGTTACTTAAAGTTCTTAACTGACAGACAAAAAAGGAAGTCCGCTTCTGGGTAGCGAAAGCCACAGGGGCTGTGGGGGAGCCACAGGCC